ATAATCTGTTTTAAATAAATATCATAGAATATTTTATATAAAAATAAATAAATATATAATTTAAATTTCAAATATATTAAAAATAATATAAGAAATACGCCATTAATCATGATGTAACACTTCCCCCTCTCCAGAGGTCGTCACGTCCTCGTGATTGACCTCATCAATTCTTTCAAAATAGGGTTTGATTCTTGAGACATGGACACTCAATGGGTCTTGGCCAGGATTATCTTTTGGTTCAATTAAGTAATTTACGTTTGACAGCTTCTTTAATATTCTATATGGGCCAAAATATTTTCTCATTAGTTTCTCACACTTTCCTATTTTCCTAATTGGTGTCCAAACTGCTACTAATTCTCCTGGTTCGTAGCTTTTTTCCATGTGTTTCTTGTCATAGTTCTTTTTCATTCTTTCTTGAGTCTTTATTGTGTTGTTAATAACTAATTTTCTTGTTCTGTTTATTTTGTCTAAGTGATGTTTTATGTATTCATCATAATCATCCTTGTCAATGTCCACCGACATATTCCTGTCGTCCAAAAGAGACGTGGGTTCTCTTCCAAACATCAGGAAAAAGGGAGAATATCCTGTGGTTTCCTGAATTGTAGTATTGTAAGCGTGAGTGATGACTGGGAGTATTTCGTCCCAATTCTTCTGATCAGTGTTCACATACATACTGAGCATATTGATCAATGTTCTATTTAACCGCTCTGTCAATCCATTAGTCTGGGGATGATAGCTCGTTGTGAAGCAATGTTTAATCTTGCACGTTTTCATCACCTCTTTCATTAAATTACTGGTAAATTGAGAGCCTCTGTCACTAATAAGATATTGTGGGGCTCCGTGCCGGAGAAAAATATCCTCTACTAGAAATTTTGAAACTTCTTTCACTGTTGCTTCCGAGACTGCTTTTGTTTCCGCATATCTAGTGTAGTAGTCCGTCAGCACGATTATCCATTTTTTCCTATTTTTCGTAGATGGCAATGGACCAACAAAGTCAATTCCAATTCTTTCGAAAGGAAAGTTGGCTGGGGGAATGGGCTGTAGTAGTCCAGAAGGTAATTGGTTTGAGCCTTTTCTACTTTGGCAAAGGTGACACGTCTTAACGAACTCTGAGACATCCTTTAGCATGGATGGCCAAAAATATTTACTCTTTATTCGGTACATGGTTCTGTCGACACCCAGATGACCATTCGATATATGATTGTGATATTCTTTCATAATTTCTCTCTTTTTCTTCTCTGGAACCACAAGCAACCACGCCCTGCCTTCAGGGTTCGGGTTTTTCTTAAAGAGGCATCCATCTTCTACTTTAAAGTTTTGCGCAATTGATCGCCTGCTTCCATTAAGGTTTTTCTTAACACTTTCGATAAACTTATCCTCTTCGTCTGTTATTTGATTTAAAAATAGCCTTTCAAAATCCTCATCCCAATCAGTTTCTGGTAAGGGTCCCCTAGATAAGCCATCGGCGTCCAGATGCTTCTTTCCTGATTTATGTATTATATCGAAGTCATATTCTTGAATTTTCAATGCCCATCTTGCCAATCGACCTGTTGGATCCTTCAAGTTTTTGAGCCAGCATAAGGTGTGATGGTCTGTTACTATTTTAAAGTGTCTTCCATAAAGGTAGGGTCGTAATTTTGACATTGACCAGACAACGGCCAGACATTCTTTTTCAGTGGTTGAATAATTTTGCTCCGCTTTACTTAGGGTACGACTCAAATATGAGATCACCTTCTCTTAACCACCGATGTCTTGGACAAGTGTTGCACCTATGCCGATGTTGGACGCATCAGTATGAACATAAGTAGGTGCATTTGGATTGAAGTGACCTAAAATTGGTGGACTTAATAGTGCTGTTTTTAGGGTTTGAAACGCTTCCTCTTGTCTTTCTGTCCAGGTAAATGATACACTTTTTTTTATAAGGTTGGTCAAAGGGTCAGCAATTTTTGAGAAGTCTTTGATAAATTTTCTATAATATGAACACATTCCCAAAAAGGATTGTACTTCTTTGACCTTTTTGGGCCGAGGAAAATTTCTGACAGCTTTGATGTTATGTTCCGCGGGTTTTATACCATGTTTGCTCGTTATATAGCCGAGAATCTCCAATTCTTCAAAAGCAAATCGGCATTTTTTTGTCGTTTAACCTTAAATTATATTCACGAAAACATCTAAAAACAGCTTCAAGTCTTTTGAGATGCGTTGGAAAATCCGGGCTATATATGATAACATCATCCAGATAACACAAACAAATTTGCCATCTCAGATTTCCAAGCATATTCTCCATATTTCTCTCAAAGGTAGCAGGCGCGTTACAAAGTCCAAAAGGCATCACGTTGAATTCATATAATCCATGCGCTGTAGTGAAAGCTGTTTTCTCTTTGTCTCTTTCTTCGACTTCAACTTGCCAATATCCAGATCTGAGGTCTATTGCTGAGAAGTGTGTAGATCCTTGGAGAGTATCCATAACTTCGTCTATTCTAGGGATCGGATAGACATCTTTTACTGTCACATTATTCAGTTTTCTGTAGTCCACACAAAATCTGTATTTTCCATCTCGCTTCTTGACCAATATTACTGGAAAAGACCAGGGGCTAGAAGATGGCCTAATTATGCCTTCTGTAAGCATCTCGTCAATTTGCTCTTTTATAATATCTCGTTCTTTAGCACTTACCCGGTAAGGCTTGTGTTTAATTGGCTTCGCGTCTTCTGTGTCTATCCGATGTTTTGCCAAATTGGTTCTCCCTAATCTCGATGAAAAAAGATCTCCATACCTTTCTAAAACTTGTTTTAACTCCTTCTGTTCCTTTGGTGAAAGATTTTCGTTTATTTGGGATCTAGGTTCTTCGTTCTTTTCTACCTCTCTTTCTCGACTCACATTTATTTTCGCTGGACTACTTCCAAAAGCCAATGTTTGGTTTTTCATTATTTTTAACGGTCGAGGATACGGATTAGTTATCCAGATGTGTGTTTCCCTATTTATAACATTGATCAAGCTTCTTGCTAGACGAAGTCCATTTGTTTGAAACATTTTGCTGCTCTCCTCGCTAATATATTCTCCATCCTCTGTTTCTACCAATGCCTTGATCAATTTCATGGAACATTCCGGTACAATGGAATTCTTGGCACTCTTTATTTTCAACATTTCAAAATTGATTTCGTCATGATTATTCGTCAAATCGTATTTTATAGTTTCTTGCTTACAATCTATTTTTTGCGTTCATTTTCTTAAGGAAATCTCTCCCAAGAATTAATGTCCGTAAATGCGTTTTCAATATCACAAAGTTGTGTGATAATGTTTCGTCTCATCAATTTTTATATTTAAAAATATACTTCCTACCATGTCCATTTTTTTTACATCGGGTCCTGCACAAATTTTTGCGAGTTTACTTATACCATGGGCTGTATCGAGGGCCGTTCTGAGGTCGACCACTGAGAGGTCAGCACCTGTATCAACCAAAGCTTCAAAAGTCCCTATCTTGTCCACATTAATTTTTAATTTGTATTTAGGGTCCAACTTCTTGATTCCGTTTATGGTCGACTTGCTTTGATTGACAGATTCAGGCGCGGCGCTTAGTTTAAATCTTCCAACACGGAATATCTATTCCGGGTAGGAATATTTGTCTGTGTGCTATGACATACATCAGCATAAAGCCGAGGTCCTGATTTCTCTGATATTTCATTCATTTGGCATTTCTCTTCGACCTTCTCTTGGGTATCTGCTGGATCCTCTTCTAGGATTCTTATAAACTTGACCCTACAATAACGGGCCACGTGCCCTGGCTTGTTACATTTAAAGCAGATTGGTCTTCCATCTTCCGTCCTATTTTTGCTCACTTCTTGGCTTTTATTGTAAGTGTTTCTCTGAAGGTTTGGTTTCGGCACAAAGTTAGGATTATAAGGACGTCTCGGGGTAGAGGGCTGGGGAAAGTTGTTTCGATACTGTCTGGGGGTAGGAGGGGAGTCGTTCTTGTAATTATTGGAAACAGGGGCTTGGGGCCTGGAAGTGGTCTGGTAGTTTCGTGCGGCAGTCGGCGGCACGTACCTCGATTGTTGTTGGGGTCTAGAATAGCGTGGACCGTTATATAGGTTTCTGGATTTCTCCACACGTTCCCGATACTTCTTTTCAAAAGAATCCATTTTCTTGCACACGACAAGAAGGTCATCGGTCGTTTTAGGAGGGTTCAGGTAGAGCGCGAATGAGTACTCTTTTTTTCAGTCCTCCAATAACATGTTCAATTTTTGTTTCTTCTTCCATTGCGGGGTCAACCTTGTTGCACAACACTAGAATGTCTTCCGCGAACCTGATTGCTGGTTCATTCCAGTGTTGCATTCTGTTGAGCTTCATTCTAAGTTCTTCTTTATTCGCGTCCAAAGAAAAATCCTGAATGAGGCGGATTTTAATATTTTCCCAGCTCGTGAAACTAGCTTTGTGTAAATTCAACCAGGTTTTAGCGCTTCCCGTCATGTTCATGGCGGCATAACGAGAGATAATGTAGTCTGCCCAATGGTACAAGAAGCCAATTTCTTCAAGAGATTCAATCCATGGGCGAGGGTCTTCCGTTCCATCATACTTGGGGATGTCGATGTTGGGATTCAGGACAACTGGGTCGGAACTAGCATCTCTACCAATTGTTGCACCAGGTTGCGGCTTGGCAGACTCTTCAGCCTGGATTCTCTCCTGTGCTGGGTCCTGCATCTTACCAGAGCGTGTTTCAACCATCCTACAAATTTATAAAAGGGAATAATGAAATAAGTCTTCTTTAAGTAGCCTCCAGAATCCTTCTTTTATTTTTCTCACATCAAAGAGAGCAGTGAAGTGTGTCACACGTGTACCTAAATACAAATGATCATAATCTAAATAATCTGTTTTAAATAAATATCATAGAATATTTTATATAAAAATAAATAAATATATAATTTAAATTTAAAATATATTAAAAATAATATAAGAAATACGCCATTAATCATGATGTAACAATATTTACGAACGGAAAAATATGTCCAGGGTAGCCTAGTGGACATGGCATCTGCCCGGTAAGCGGAAGGTCGTGGGTTCGATTCCCGCCCCTGGGCACTTTTATTTTTATTTTTCCGTTCGCCATTACTCTTCATATTTTCACCCTTTCATACTTCATCCTTAAAGTTAGAAATAGTCGTTATTTCTCTTCAAAATAAATTTCGATTTTTGTTTAAAAGAAACATTCGCGGTATAATTGCAATTTTCGTTTTATATATAATTGTAATAAAATAATTTCATCTGGTGAGTAATGTTTAATTAATAAATTAAATAATAACTATACAACATAAATTGGAGACGAGAATTTGAAAATATAACTGTAGCCCTAAAAAACAAGTATGGCAGCCAACCTGGCGCCACCTTTACCCATGAATATGAATGCTAGCAATTTATTTGCGGAATATAAGCAATGGATGGATTCCTATGCCATTTTTGAAATAGCATCTGGAATTTCAAAAAAATCGGATGAAATTAAGAGAGCAACTCTATTGCATTGTTTAGGGCCAAATGTACAGCGTATATTTTTCAACTTTCCAGATGAAAAGGAAAATTATGAACAAACTAAAATGGCTTTAGATAAATATTTCACACCTCATAAAAATGTGGTCACTGAGAGATTTAAATTTAGACAAAGAGTCCAGAAAGATGATGAATCGATCGAGAACAACCTAATTTCTTTAAGAGAGCTTTCTAAATCTTGTGAATTTGGGAATTTAGAAGCTGATATCATAAGAGACCAAATAATTGAAAAATGTAACAACAAAAATCTTAAAGAAAAATTGTTGCAACAAGAAAATTTGACACTGTCAAAAACCATTGATATTGCTAGAATTTTAGAAATTTCTAGAAAAGAAATTAGACTTCTTGAACCTCAAAATGATCAAACACTAAATAGAGTTCAAATTAAACCTAAAAAGCACTATAAAGCTAATAATTTCAACAAAGGTAGATTCACTAATCAAGGTACCCCATCATTTTCAGGTACCTCAAAGCCTAAATGTTATCGCTGTGGATTAGATACACATTCAGCACAAGAATGTGGTGCTAAAAAATGACTTGTTCCTATTGCAATAAATTAGGACATCTTTTTAGAGCTTGCAGGAACCGCCCAAATCAAAATAATAATAGAAACCACAAAAGTTTCAATCAAACTAAAGTTAAGACCATACAAGAAGAAAATAAGACTGAAGTAGGTGAAAGTTCAGATGAATATACCTACTATACAGGTGCAGAAAATAAAGAAAAAGTGCAAATAGATGGTAGTGAAATAAATATGATAATTGATACAGGGAGTGATAGAACTTTCATAAGCTATAATAAGATGCTTGAATTATATGGCCATAAAATTATGCCAAAATTACATGACACCACCCGAACCTTTTTTGCCTATGGTCAAGATAGACCTCTTCCATGTTATGGTTATTTCAATGCTGTGATTTCTTGGAAAGAAAATTCAATTTCAGAAGAAATTTATGTGATTGATAAAAAAGTTGAATCTTTGTTGGGAGGCAAGGCTAGTTTTGAACTAGGTATAATTAAAAGGGTAAATCATGTAAATGAATCAATGTCTACTAATATAGAAACTCTTGTTCAAGAACATGAACATATTTTCCATGGACTTGGAACTATAAAAGGCTATAGTCATAAAGTGACATTGAAAGACAACTATAGGCCCATTGCCCAGAGATGCCGTCGTATACCTTATGCAATGGTAGAAGCAGTAAATCAAGAGCTTGATAAGATGCTAGAGAATGGAATCATTGAAGAAGTGCATCAAGGTACTGAATGGGTTTCTAACATAATAGTTGTTTCAAAAAGGGATAGTGAGGAAATTAGACTATGCATAGACCTTCGGGAGGTGAATAAAGCAATATTGAGAGAAAGACATCCAATTCCTACAATTGACAATATGTTACATGCCCTTAAAGGTGCTAAAGTATTTGCAAAGCTGGATGCAAAAAAAGGGTTTTGGCAGGTTGACTTAGACCCTCAATCAAGACCCCTTACAACTTTCATCACGCACCGTGGTTGTTACAGATTTTGTAAAGTTCCTTTTGGTCTATCAAGTGCTCCAGAGGCATATCAGAAAGGAATGGATTCAATTTTGCTTGATTTGAAAGGTGTAATTTGTTACTTGGACGATGTCGTAGTTTACGCCAAAGATAGACAAGAACTAGAAGAAAGGCTTAGAAAAGTCTTACAAAGATTTGATAAAGTAGGCATTAGGCTCAACAGGAATAAGTGCAAATTTGCCATGGAAGAATTGGATATTTTAGGTCACATCGTTAGTAGTGAAGGTATTAAACCTGATAATAGGAAAATAGAAGCAGTCTTAAATTTTCCAATACCAAAAAATATTGAGATGTTAAGGTCATTCTTAGAAACTTGTGGGTTTTTAAGAAAATTCATACCTAATTTTTCTAAATTGGCAGAACCTCGAAATAATTTGACTAGAAAAATTGTTAGGTGGAATTGGGATTTGAAAACAAATAAAGCATTTCAGGATCTTAAAGAGTCACTAACAAAAGAGCCATGCTTGGCATATTACAACTTGAACTCACCAACTGAATTAATCACAGATGCAAGCCCTATTGGTCGTGGAGCAGTATTAATACAAACACAACAAAATGGCATTAAAAGACCCATTGCATATGCCAGCAGATCCTTAACTGATACTGAAAAAAGATATTCACAAATAGAAAAAGAGACATTGGGATGTGTATGGGCAATTAAACATTTTAACACCTATATTTGGGGAAGGAAATTTGTGTTAAAAACAGATCACAAACCCCTAATCTATATGCTGAATCCTAAAAATGGAGCTGTTTTGCCTCAAAGAATTCAAAGATTGAGTTGGAGATTACAACCATATGACTTTGAAATTGAATTCATTCAAGGAAAGCAAAATATTGCAGATATATTTTCAAGACAACCTCTTTCTAACACAAGTGATGAAAAATGGCTGGAGGACTATGTTCATAAAGTCTTATCCATCACTTCTGAAGAGCTTCAAGCACTGTCTTTGAAAGAGATAAAAGTTTGTACAGAGCAAGATCCTTTGTTTCAAAAACTGAAAGAGATGGTTCAAAAGGGAGTTTGGCCATATCCTTTGAATGAAGAATTCAAATGTTTTTATAAGTTTAAAGATGAACTCTCAATTTTTGATAATCTTATCTTAAAAGGAAGTAGAATTTTGCTACCTTCAAAACTAATAAAAAGAGTCTTGAGAATTGCACATGAAACACATCAAGGAATGACAAGAACCAAACAACTGTTAAGAGAAAAATATTTTTGGATAAACATGGACTTTGACATTGAAAATTTGATAAGAAACTGTCCAATTTGTGTAAGGAATCAACCATTTATAAATGATCAACCATTGCAAATAGTTCCGTTACCATCAAAACCTTGGATGAAACTTGGAATTGACATATTTGGTCCAATTGGCCATCATTATGTTTTAACAGTGATCGACTACTATTCTTCATATCCTGAAGCATTGATAATAACAGACATTTCCAGCAAGACAATTATTGAAAAATTAATGGAGATTTTTGCAAGACATGGTTATCCACATGAAGTTGTAACAGATAATGGCTTACAGTTTGTAAGTACACCAATGGAAAGATTTTAAAAGAATGTGGAATCAGGCACATCAAAGCCTCATCCTATTACCCAAAAAGTAATAGGAAGATAGAAAGATTCCATAGATTTCTAAAGAAACAATTTAATTCAAGTTCTGAAGAAGGCAAAGATTGGAAAGAAGATTTATCCAGAATTTTAATGTGTTACCGAACTACTCCAAACAGATCTACAGGAAAGACTCCAGAATTCCTATTGTTGTTGTTGTAAAATGTTATAATACCTTGATAAAGGTTGGCGTTCATCCAACTGAAATATTGGTAAAATAAATGATATTTTGATCCAATATATGCCTTTTTATTTAAAGAAATATGTATATAAGGTCATCTTTGTATAAGCCTTTCTTGTAATTTTACACCAGTTGAAAGAGAGACCGAAAGGTTCGAAAGTTTGTGAAAAGATTTATAACACAGGTCTACAAAAAAAACTTTTTTTTTTTGCACAAGAGAACCTGATGGTGTTTCTAGTGTAACTTTTCATGCTGAACTCAAAAATCTAATCAGAAATTTCCCATCACCCATGGTTTTTGCCTGATGGTCTTTTTTTAGTATTAGCATATAGCACATGCATCCAACATGAAAGAGACTTACGAAAACATGAAACTGCTTTTGAAAAAGATAGAATATGAAAGATATGGTTGGAAAATATGCAGCGATTTGAAAGTCGTTCATCTCTTGCGTGGATTACAGCTTGGATATACAAAATTTTGTTGTTTTCTGTGTGAGTGGGATAGCAGAGATAGGGAAAGGCATTACATTAAAAAAATCTGGCCAAACCGTAAAATCTTTACTCCAGGATATAAAAATATTGCAAATCTACCCCTGATCGATTCAGAAAATATTTACTTACCACCATTACATATTAAACTGGGATTAATGAAGAACTTTGTCAAGGCAATGGATCGAAATGCCAGTGGATTTGCCTACCTAAAACAAAAATTTTCTAGTATAAGTGAAGCGAAGATTAAAAAAGGCATTTTCGTTGGACCTCAGATTCGAGAATTGCAGCAAGATGGAAATTTTCAAAATAGTTTGAATGAAGTTGAAGCAGCAGCATGGAAGTGTCAAGGTTGATAATTACCGAGACATAGTTAATGATCTGTTGCTTTCCTACAAGGCACTGGGATGTAACATGTCCCTCAAGATCCATTTCCTGCATTCACATCTAGATTTCTTTCCAGACAATCTTGGCGCAGTTAGCGATGAGCATGGTGAGAGGTTTCATCAAGATATATCAAGCATGGAGAAGCGGTACCAAGGTAAATGGAGTCCCGCTATGCTTGCCGACTACTGCTGGACACTCAAGAGGGATCTACCACAAGCAAAGTATAGAAGAAAATCCACTGTCACTGCTTTTCAATAAATAAATATGTTTCGTTCTATATGCCTATATATTAACAATATTTCCAAAATTC